GGCAATAAGCTTTAAAAGTAACGCGAGACGATCTCATGTGCAAAATTAATTTAGGCCCCCCTCCGCCCTCAATACCATATGTAAATGAAATTGAACCAGGCGTTATTTTATTGAGGAGGTACGGAGGAGGGCGTAAGGCCCCCGATATTTGATGATGTTTGAACTTCCGAGCAAAGGTGGGAACTGGGAATCGACTTGAGTTTTTCTTCTTTTGTTTTTATTATGCATGAACAATACGGATGTATGCGATGTTGAAATTACTGAACTGTTTTGATGGAATAGTTCAGTGGATTGTTGAATCTTTCTTTAGGTTTTTGCGTTTCCATCGTCGATTGCGTGGTTTGTTTGTTATTTTTCTGCATCACGTAAATTTCGAAATAGGACTAAGATTCAAGAGAAACCGGTCTACCTAGGTAACGTCTCACGAAATGAAGAGTAGATATCATTCTTTACTAAATCAATCGCTCTTAAACTTCTACTAAACAATAACGTAAAAGAGCACTTACAAAAAAAAATTGAAATGTCAAAAATGTGTCAAAGTTCCCGCCAACAATGAGGGGTAAATATTCATGACGAGTCGATAGAACAGCCAACAATTTGGTACCACGCAGCCCCAAGGGTATATATCATATTTCCCATCAAGTTTATTTTTTCACTCCAATTTATCAATTATTAATGGCCCTAGGCCGGTATCGACTCGAAATTGAGATATAAGTCACTCGCGAACAACTTTTCAGGCTGATTATGATTTATTATGTACTTTTTAACAGCAGGGTTTGAACGATGAAAAAACGGCTTTTAGAGCCTTCTAAGGGAGGAATGTTTTCGAAACTTTTTTATTGTGAGCCTCGTATATATATGAAAATGTAAAATAACGGCCGATACTTTTTATGTTTACCGTCCGTCCCGGCAAGAATCACGCCCACGTTACGTGCTTTCTGAACAAACGATACACAAATTGTAATATTTTAACGTTTCTAAGTTACTGACACCGAATAATAAAGCTTTATGTACCTGGAGTGAACACCGGCAAACTACAACATTGAAACATCGTATTAACATTCAGTCTGTCATCAAGATCTCAGTTTTGTGGAGTGGAAAACTCTGGTCAAAGTGGGAAATCGATAATGCAATCAAGTCGATTAGTTTATCATATACAGAGGCCTTAGTATCTACGAGTTTGTTTTACGTTTAAAGTAATCGTAGCGAGTACGCGTTCGGCGGCGCTCTGATTGGTTGCTTCATTGACACCGGCCAATCAGAGTGCCGAATGCGTTTATTCGTATTCGTATTCGAATACTTTAATTAAACGTACCTAAATGAAACTCGTACTAATGCCTCAGAACTCTCACTTACCAAACGATATAGAACCATTGTGTGTCAGATATCGTGAAGTATCACGATGGTACTTACTCTATAAGCGATTATTAACATCATAACAACATAACATCACGCCTTTTTTATCCTCGAAGGGGTAGGCAGAGGTGCACATTATACCACTGTACAATGTAACACCCACTTTTCAATATTTATGTTATGAGTCCCATGTAATAGGGGGTGAGCCTATTGCCATATACCGGGCACAATTCCAGACTCCGTGCTACTACTGACTTACTGAGAATATTTAAAAACCGAATAATACTTTGCCCGACCCGGGAATCGAACCCGAGACCCCTTGCCCGGCAGTCGCACTTACGACCACTCGGCCAACGAGGCAGACTAAGCGATTATTAAGTATTATATATCCCCGTTGAAATTCGCTTTTAGCAGCTAAGTTCATCTACCTAGTAAAAGCATATTTTAAACAAATCTATGCCTACAAAAAAAACACGTGCGTGGCTTATAAAAATAGTCATATCTTTTTGAACATGGGCACCATAATTGTGCCACTTAATCATTTGCGCATAGAGATTGGCGTTATAGTAAAATTACGAGCAATTTCGCACGCGCCGAACTAATTTATCAAAACATTTCGTAGGTTGAACGTGTTTTAAAGCTAAGCCTACATAGTGAGAACTGAGAACCTAAAGTACTTATGTAGGTTGGCGCTAAAATTAGGTATTAACTAAAATGTATACCTACTTTTAGTAGACATTATAATTCGATAGGTAACTGGAATTGTTCATAATAATTAATCAGTTCATTATAAACTGCCTCGTTTGCCGAGTGGTCGCAAGTGCGACTGCCGAGCAAACGGGTCTCGGGTTCGATTCCCAGGTCGGCCAAAGTTATACTAGGTTTTAAAAAATATCTCAGTTGTAGCACGGAGTCTGGAATTGTGGCCGGTACATGGCAATAGGCTCACCCCTTATTACGTGGGACTCATTACATAAATAGTGAAAAGTGGGTGTTACATTGTACAGTGGCATTAAGTGCCGTAATGTATTTATTTTTTTAAGGGCAGGAAAATCATCGAATGGCTGCTCCCGCCTGGGTGAGGCGGAAGGGAGTGTCAGACTCTTACTGGCTAAAAACCACCCCGTTCCTTCTCCTGCACGTCGATCCGGAGCCCCGGTTACCCGTTAGGTTCTCCGCGACTGCCGTAATGTATACCTCTGCTTACCCATTCGGCTATAAAAGGCGGGATGTTATGTATGTTATGTTCTTCAATATAAACTAGAAAACTGTACATCCATAAAACGACCGTGACGGTTGGCACAATAACTGGGCAACTGGTTGTTGGGCAGCGCACGGCGCGTCCCGTTCCGCGCGCGCCTCAAAGAACCATCAGACCACCACGGAAAGGCCCAATAGTGCTGATGCCGATACGGAGCACGGAGTACTTAACGGGTTGCCGGGGCTCCGGCTCGAAGTGCAGGAGTAGGAACGGGGTGGTTTTTAGTCAGTAAGAGTCTGACACTCCCTCCCGCCTCACCCAGGCAGGAGAAGACATTCGATGGATTTCCCTCCTCAAATAAAAACTGGTTGTTGAGCTAAGTATGTATAACGGATTCGATTCTCGGGTGGAACAATATTTTTTTATGGAAAGGACAAAAGAATAACCTACACCCACGAAATAAGCTGTAGCACACAAGAAAATTCTATTTAAAAAAAATGTATAAATTCTTTCATAATTCGCTCGCTAAGTAAATCATAATGTACCTAAATATGGTGCCAGATGTCTAATAGTTAATACCCAATAATACCGTATCAAAGTGTGCCATTTACTTAAATTCTGTAGGTAAATTAAAAAGTTAAAAACTTCCCCCGGGCCTACCAACATAATAACATCGATTCTCCCTCCAATACTGCCAAACAAAAGCCGAACTTTTTTTTAAGCGACGGCATGACTCGGCCACGCCGCGCCACGGTATGTTATTTCAGCTTGCCTCCAATTTACCACCGGCCAGTCACAGCATTCGAAATTTGAAAATACAAAATCGCATATTGTGTCTATGATTTACACAGGTAACATAATAATCTTGTTTTTCAGTGAACCAAATAGTACCTACGTATTTATTTACTAGCTGTTACCCGCGAGTTCGTGTCTTCGTCCGCGTACAATATGAAGTTTAGAACATAACTTTTCTATGTTACTCCTTAATACATCAGCCATAAAGGCTTGCAAAATCGGTACAGCCATTCCAGTGCTTAGTCGCAGTGTAAACAGACAGACAGACAAAAAATTTAAGTGTTATTTTGGTGTGTATCGTATGTACATATTCATATGCATGTAGTAAAAAACTATTACCTATAATACAAACAGACACTCCAGTTTATTTGTATAGATTTAAAACAAAACTTCCTCCCTACGATACGTGAATAATTTTGAAAAAGATAAAGGTTCTAGTAATCATTTCGTGACAATTGTATTCACCGCTGAATTGGGACTTGTGACTACCGGTCTTCTCTAGATAAAATTATACGCCATTATATAAAACCTTCAAAAAAAATTCGCTTGGTAAAGTTGAAGATTGTATGAGGCTATACTAAGTATAATACTGAGGCACTATTTCGACCCTATAATCGTCAACGTCCATACCATGTTGAAAACGCCGGTTCTCGTCCGATCACCGAAGTTAAGCAACATCGGGCGCAGTCAGTACTTGGATGGGTGACCGCCTGGGAACACTGCGTGACGTTGACTTTTTGCGCATCTGTTTTAATTTGATCTGTTAAATTACTAACCTATGATGGGTATAATCTATATTTTTCCCCGTAACCCAACCTACATCAAATATTTATCAAAGTTTTAAATCTGCCACTTTCTATACGACCATAATGACCCTTGTCAAGGGTCTTTTTAAAAGATAAAATTGGTATATTAATGATAAAATTCTTATTACAACACACGACATCGGTATAATTAGATTTGTAGGTAATATTTTATAATATTTATTTACATTTATAATACTAATAAATACGTTAATTTGTATACAATTACCTCAAAAAAGAACATAAATCGTTCAAATTTAACGTTAAATTAAAAAGGGACGCCACACGGGTCGAAAAAAACGATAAGTACATATTTTTATTTAGATAAATAAAAATGATCAAAAACGGTAAGAACAGAGGGCGTTCGGTTTCGTTTGAGTACGAGTTTCTTTTTCGTAGTAATCGAAACGAGACGGCGTTCGGTGCTCTAATTGGTTTGTTCTATTGGAGCTGGCCAATCACAGCGGCGAATGCGTACTCGTTACGATTACTTTAAACCTAAAACATACTCGTACTAACGCCTCAGATTAAGTTCCTTCCTAAGGAAGTTTAGTAAGTAACATAACATAACATCACGCCTATTATCCCCGAATGGGTAGGCAGAGGTGCACACAGAAGTAACACCCACTTTTCACTATTTATGTTATGAGTCCCACGTAATAGGGGGTGAGCCTATTGCCATATACCGGGCACAATTCCAGACTCCGTGCTACTACTGAGATTTTTTTTAAAACCCTATCTGCCCCTTGCCCGGCAGTCGCACTTGCGACCACTCGGCCAACGAGGCAGGCAGTAGTAAGTAAGGTAGTTTTATACCACAAAAATCAACAAGAAAAACTACTAAAGAATTACCAATAAAATCATTTATTCTCACTTAACACAAATTATAAACATAATTACAGTCAACAATAATGCCACATTACTGCGCTCACGATTATATAAAACATTATATTCAGTCATGTAACATAATAAATTAAATGCACATTTCAAATGCTTTAACTAAAATAACAATATTACATCTACACTATTCATGTAGATTATCACAATTTTATTCGTCATCACCTTTTCAAAGCAGGTCTGAAAGAAAAAAAAGGTATATTAGTACTTTTGATTATTGCAATAAAAAAAGTAGACACATAACCACAAAACAAAACCAGTTGTGGTTGAATTTATTGCCTCTTATTAATTATATGTTAAGCCTGTCCTTGTTGGGGATTCAGGGATTGGAGAAGCGTGGGGGGGGGGGTGTAATTGGACCTCCGGTACCCTCACTCACACGACGTTTCACGTCGGTTTTCTGCTCGGCCGTGGTATCACTCCGGTCGAGCCGGCCCATTCGTGCCGAAGCATGACTCTCCCACACTTAAAAGTTCTTGGGAATCGGGAAGTTCTCTTAGTAAAAATAAATTCTTTTAACTTTTTTACATCAGGATAATCGCACTTCCATTGATTAAATTACATTAAAATTTTAATAAAACATAATTAATCTAAGTGTGTGGCTTGACCGGAGTGATACCACGGCCTCACAGAAAACCGACGTGAAGCAACGCTTACGTTGTGTTTTATCGTGTGAGTGAGGTAACCGGATGCCCAATTACCCCCCCCCCTCCCTCTCCCCAATCCCTGAATCCCCAACAATCCTCAAATTCCAAATTCCTGTTCCAGGTGTCCATGGGCGGCGCCGATTGCTTACCATCAGGTGATCCGTCTGCTCGTTTACCGGCTTATCCCATAAAAAAAATAATCTGCAGTTATTACTTATGTGTACCTACTTACTTTTTCTGAAATCCAAATTTGCTCAGCAAAGTTGGTTGGTTGCTTGGTAGAGGCGGCGATTTCTTAATCCCGTTCGCTTTGGGCGCAGTCTTTTTAAAACCATTCAAATTCCTCTGCTTGTTAGATTGGCTGCCGAACATAGGCTGGGATTGGCTACTCAACCACGTCGACTTTTGAGACGCACCGAAGGATGACTGTAATAAAAGAAAATAAAAAAAAATAGTTTAAATGAAATAAAGTTAAAAGATAAAACCCAACTGTATTACTTACAAGCTAAGGACCGCCTTAAAACAGATTTTATGAAAACATTATTTGTGACTTTCAAGTTTCATTTATTTTAACATTGTACCTGGCAAAAGGAAACCAAGTGGAACATAACATAACATCACGCTTTTTATCCTCGAAAGGGTAGGCAGAGGTGCACTTAATGCCACTGTACAATACTGTACACCTACTTTTTACTATTTATGTTATAAATCCCATCTAATAAGGGATGAGCCTATTGCCATATACAAGGGAATTAAATGGATTGAGAGTATAAAATATACAAACCATAATGTTTGAATAAAATTGCCCTATGTTTCTGGAATACAATTTAACTGTCCATCTATGTGTAACATAGCCGATTGCATTATGATTGTATACAAAGAAAAATATTAAAAAATACTTCTACCAACCTGCGAAGCGGTAGGCGTAATCAAAGTCTCCATAGGATAAGTATTATCTATCACAGAGTCTTCACTAGCCATATTATCTACAACATGCTCTTCCATAACAATATCAGTAATTATATTCCTTCTGCATTTTGGACTAGGCTCCAAAATAGGACTACTAGGCCTAACAGGACTAGAATTACACTCAAAATTCTCCTTTTGAGAATCTTCATCACTCATTTTTGCACGTTTTTTAAATGGATTCCTGTTACTATGTTCCGGAGATTCTTCTATAGTGATACTTTCTTTAGATACGTCAACCTCATTGGTTGAACCCTCTTCATTACTTGAGAAGAATTTGCTTTCAACTACATTATTATCTAGGACTGTTCGAGGGAATCTACTGAGTTTCTTTAGCACTGAATGTTGGCCAGTTTTCAGTAATTTTTTGAAAGATCGCTCTTTATTTTCTAGTATGGGAGATTTGTTATCTCGTGTACTGAATTGGTCTGGACTATCGTCCTCGTTGATTGGTCTATTGTGCTGATCTTCTGTACATTGTGTAAAGGTCTCGCTAAGTTCATTATCACAGTCAATTTTCTGCTTTTTGGCGGCTGGCTCCATACAATACATGTTGCTTAGTGTTTCTATTGATAAACTGTAATACAAACAATACATTAGAAGATAATATTAAATACAGATTAAGATAATGTTAGCTTATCACAAGCAAAATCCATTAGAATTATCTTTCATGAACGTAATATATGACGTCATCACTGATACCGATTGTTAATTTCGTTTCTAACATCGTCAATGTCCATACCATGTTGAAAACACCGAAGTTAAGCAACATCGGGCGTGGTCCGTACTTGGATGGGTGACCGCTTGCGAACACCATGTGACGTTGGCTTTTTGCCAATCACGTTACGATATTTTCTTATAAAAATCACTTTCCTTTACATCACTGATCATTTTTACAACATTCTATCAGTAAGAGAGGCTCAATAAAGGCTTTTGTCACTGGTTGTATTGCATAGTCGTTGTTTATATTAACAATATTAGTTTCAACCCGTGGAAATTATCACCTAAATTTGTTCATACAAAAGTAGTCTCTATAAATTGGAAATAAGGTATATAATGTAGTTAGAGAGCAGTCACCGGTGACAGTTTGGGGATATATGGGTTAAAATCCAAAATAATCCAAGTACCTTTCATCCTGTGTCTCAGGAACATATTTACTGACTAGGTTAACAACCTTCCTCGGTCTACTGATCACACCAGGTAGTATAGACTCCGGTTTCTTCTCTTTCTTCCGCCAAGGGTGAGATTCGTCGAGGTATGATAGGAAGTCTTTGCTCCAAATACTTGGGTGTGAAGACACGCCTTTCTCTTTCCAGTTATTCGTTTTAACCGGTGCATTCTGTAAATAAAGTTTTTTTATAAAATATATGTCAATCTACTGGCTGTCCCGGTAACGCGAACAGTCGCGCATGCAAATTCTCCGCATGTTCGAGTATTAACGCATGATCAATGCTTTCTTGGCATCCACACCAGTGTGAGATACCTATTACAATAAGTGTAAGTAGTAAATAAGATATTTTCATTGTATAATACTATCGATTTTGCCGTAAAATTATGCATGTGCTTACAAATCTTTACTCTTTACTCTTGCAACATGTCAAACAGACAAAGATTCTGAATCTGTATTCTGGAGTTATGTGTGGTTTATTATGTATCTCGTATGTTAGCACTAACGCCTAAGATATAACAGACTAAATGCTTACAAAATATGCATAAAACATACCTTATTAATACTATAATCTGGATGCCAGTCATCCATTTTCTTCAATGTGAACGGATCTAGGTTTCCCAGTGCCAATTCAAATGCCGTTTTAGGATCCAACAGTTCACCAGCATTCACACAAAATGCCTGTTCGATTTCTGTAAAAATTAATTAGATAATAGACCTATGTTTATAGAGATTTGGAAAGAAATATGGTCAGTAGAGAATGTAGATTGTAGAGAGAAAATATATTTTTATCAAAACATTTCGTGTCGGACTCTTACTGACTAAAAACCACCCCATTCCTACTCCTGCACTTCGAGCCGGGGCCCCGGCAACCCGTGATGGCTCTTGAACGCGACGGGCCGTACGCTCGGGTCTGTTTCTGGTCGGACGGGGAGCCACCCATGCTCGCCGTCCGCAGGCCCGCGGACCTTACGGTGGCTGGGGATCGTCCGGCGATCCCCGACGCCCGGAGTGTATTTCGCGACGGCATAACATTACACTAGTACAAAAAACAACAGACCAGATGTCAATCTAAATAACAGGTATAAATAAATGTCATAATTTACCTTCATCGTCAGGTTCAGTGAGTCTCACCATCTTCCGTTCCAGGGGGTCGTAAACATACTGATGTTTGAACGTAGCCTCCGCCTTCATAAAACTTTCCCTGTACTCATCCGACACTACCAAGGAAGACTTCTTCAAGAAGCTTGGCAGTTTCTTAAGAGCCTGAAGAAGAGAATAAATGTAATTATTTATCAAGCATTTTGATTGATTGGTAGAGCATGCTTATCTCATGAACTACTGATTCGAATATTTTTTACACATAACATCACGCCTTTTTATCCCCGAAGGAGTAGGCAGAAGTGTACATAATGTAATGTAACACCCACTTTTCACTATTTATGTTATGAGTCCCATGTAATAGGGGGTGCGCCTATTGCCATATACCGGACACATTTCCAGACTCCGTGCTACTACTGAGATTTTTATAAACCCAGTAATACTTTGCCCGACCCGGGAGTCGAACCCGAGATCCCTTGCCCGGCAGTCGCTATTCTTCTTTAAGTCTTATTTTTATTAATACATCAATAGAAACCAAGCAACAGGTGAATCAGCAAAGGTGTATTGTTAAACGTATAAAGTATATATAAATAAAATTAAACAAACTCACATTAGCAAAATTAGGATCTTGAGTGGCAATAACAAACTGCCTAGCTTTAGCCAGTCCAATGCCAGGCAGGGACGCCAGATAGTCACATCCAGACATGATACACATTTGTCTAAACTTCTCAAAGGAATACCGCTCTATTGAACACTTCATAGCTAGAGGTAGCTTCGTTGTATCCACTAATGTACCCACGCCTTCCGGGTCCATTTTGAAAAATACCTGAAATGTGAGAAAGGTATTTGATTGTCCATAAGAAGTTTCAGTACAGGATCCATGGGTTGGATAATTCTTCGAAAACTTTTTGTTTATTTATTGATATGACACTTAAATACAATTAAGACTATTTTTTTTCTTTTACATTATTGTGCACTTATTCCCAGATTATTTTTCAATAATTCCATCCAAAGGTTGTAAGAAATCGCCGCGTGTGATAAGACCGCCGATGGTACTTAAATCACTATTACAATGTAAATATTTTATTCTGTGTGTGCAATCACTACATAGTATTTTTTTTAAGGGGGGAAAATCATCGAATGACTGCTCCCGCCTGGGTGAGGCGAAAGGGAGTGTCAGACTCTTACTGACTAAAAACCACTACATAGTATAAAACAAAGTCGCTATCCGCCGTCTGTCCGTCCCTATGTATGCTTAGATCTTTAAAACTATGCAACGGATTTTGATGCGGTTTTTTTAATAGATAGAGTGATTCTTAAGGAAGGTTTATATGTATAATACATGGATATTGTACCTACCCGTGCGAAACCGGGGGTGGGTCGTAAAGTATAAAATAAATAAAGAGGGCAAAAAAACTGCCAAAAAAAACACAGGACAAACAAAATTAAGTGTGTTACAAAGAATGACTTTTTTTAAATAAATTAAGGTTTTAATGTTTGATGCTAAATTAATGCTTTATATTACTTTCTTTACTTACCTTAGTACATCCAAACAATATGAGATCGGAGTCTTCAGTAATAACTATGTGGGCTATGTTCTTAATATTCAAGTAGGCTAGTTGTGCATCAGCCTCATATGGTGCCACTATGCAGTCCACATTGCGTTTCCTGCACTCCTGGATGAGACTGAGCGCCATAGAATGTGTAATATCACACCACGCCTCATAAACTTACGAGCTTCTTCGGTCTGGAATATAAAATATTTTTAAGAGAATTGACAGTTATTGGTATTTTTTTAAGAGGGGAAAATCATCGAATGACTCCTCCCGCCTGGGTGAGGCGGGAGGGAGTGTCAGGCTCTAACTGACTAAAAACCACCCCGTTCCTTCTCCTGCACGTCGAGCCGGAGCCCCGGTAACGTTAGGTTCTCCGCGACACAGTTATTGGTATAAGATTAACCAGTGGTTTGATTTAACACAATCCTAATTGACAGAATATCTTATATACCTAAGGGTGAAGTACTAAAGTTTAGATAGGAAATTTAATCAAAGAAAACATTCCTTTGTTTTTGAAAGAAAAAATATAGCATTCAAAGATTTAAATAAACTCACTTGCCACACACTGTAATCGAACTGACTAAAATCTGTAAATGTGTACTTTTTTGCATCAATCATTAGGGTCAATAAGGATAATTTTTTAACAAACTTCTTAAATTGAATGAAAAGAAAACAAAGAAATCTTAAATTAATTATTAAATTATTAATTCAATGGGTGACTGAAAGAATGAATGAACTGAATGGTTAAAGAACTTTAAAGTGTTAAGAGTTCCCTTTCTGGTGGCATTACAAAATTCCACCCTGTATATAGACCTGAAGAGTTTGTTTGTTTGTTGAACACACTAATCTCTGAAACTACTGATCCGATTTGAATAATTATTTTTGTGTTGGATAGTACATTTATTGAGGAAGCTATATAACCACCCTAAATCAAAGGAGCCGAGTAGAGCAAGCAAAACTGCGTGTAACTGGCAGTTTTCTATAAGCTCTCATAGTAAAAGTCATGACAGAAAACAGTCTTTTGGTAAATTAAACTTACCTGCCCAAGACTCAAAAGTTCAGCTGCTCGTTTCTTTGATATGTCACGAGACCTGCAAAGGAAATAAAATAAAATGTAAAAGACTACAAGAAGAAATTTTAAACAAAACATATGGTACTGAATCCCTTTAAAACCATGCAACAATATAACTAAAAACTAATAAAAATATTAACTTATTAATACTTACTCTCTTCTCTTGGATTCCGTCATAGCTTTAGCAGGCAGATGTCTTCCATCAAATACTAGTATCGGCTTAATGTTGTGTGATAGCAACATTGTCACATATTTCATACAGTATCTTATGTGCCTGGAAAAATAAATACCACACACTTACTAGTAAATAAATATTAAATAATGTGTAAAGCACATATTTCAGAACTTAAATTCAATTTGAAATCGTCCTCGCTGTGAGGTTATCGGAATCATGTGTTACGTAAATTAAAGGACGTAATATTAATTCAATTATATAAAATGGAACTTACATATCAGTTTGCTCCCCTCGTATCAATTTATCAGCACAAGAATATGTGCCTTTATGAAGCCAACAATAAGAATCAATAGCCACTGTACAGCCACTAAATTCACTAATATTAGTCCGCCTCGAGGCTTTATCTATAAATGGTAATAAACCCGTAATACCCATGATTGTCTATATAAAAGATTTACTGCATATTTTACCCAATTTCACTCATAAAATAAATAAAGAACAATTCGAGTGCAAAACGATATTGTCAACTTATATGTCAACATTCGCGCCTTTCCGCCATTTGTTATTTTAGATAAATGACAGTGACATAATACCTGATGTTCAAGCATGTTTACTTGTTTAAATTTAGAACTATGTCTTTTTAGTCAGTTGGTTGAATAGTTATTCAACATGTAAGAGCCATCGTATTTTATAATTAGTAATACATTGCAAGCAGTTAAATTACCAAAACTTACTTAATTACTTTAAATATTTTTAAATATAATTCAATCTAACGTTGTAATTGTGGGTACTTTTTATTTCAAACAAGTTGAGGGTAGGCGTGATATACAAGTAGCTTTTTACTGGAAAGTGATGGTGACAGCATAGTTCGGCCTCATAATTTTATTTAAACATATAAAATTATTGGATTGGTCTGCCAACGTGCCAATAAAGTATCATTTATGTTTGAAATCACTTAAAATGTTTTTAAATCCTCGTATCCTGTCGTCGGCTGCGGCGATTGCTATCACTTGTGCTGTGTCTGCAGCGGCCTACTATTACAAAAGCCGCAATGCTGTCGAAATTAACGAAGTAATGGTGTTCTGCAAACTCCACCTAAATGCTTATAATTACTTTGATAAGTTAATCAGCTATGTAGAAGCAGCTAAGAAAAGTGTTGACGTCTGCATGCCAAGCATACACAATCCCGCCATTCAAAGTCGGTTAGTAGCATTGATAAAGAAAAAGAATATCACAGTTCGTATTATAATTGACCGTACTGGGTATAATGATTCAACAGACTTTTTTATAAATGAACTTATTGAAGCTGGTAAGTTGAATTTTACTACCTACTATTGTTTAAGTTTTAATTATTTATTATACTTGTACCCAGTTCAGAATTCTAATTAATTTATTTTTGATAATCTTCAGGTGCAGAGATAAAGTGTAATCTAACGGAACCAATATATAAGATGCAACACAAATTCTGCATAGTCGACGACAAAGTTCTCATGACTGGTACTTTGGACTGGGGAAACGACCTTTCAGCCGACCATTGGAATTATGTCTACATCACTAGTAAACCACAGTTAGTAGAACCGGTAAAAAAAGAATTTTATCAAATGTGGATTCGGTTTTCTAGCGATTTAAGTCAGGTCGACAAGCCCACACCACACGATAGCGACACAGAATTCGTGGACGCTAGAAATTTAAATCCGGAAATGGAAAATATGGAAATAGTCGAAATGGAAAACGAACATAAAGGTGACTCAGAATCACAGACTAACAGAGATGAGACCTCTGATTTAGTTATAATTTAGTCATTGTATCAACTTTTACCTTAATCTTTTACAAATGTTTTATATGCCAAAACATGCCCTGTATAAAAATCAATGTATTAACCTATTTTAATAATAAGACCATTATTTATTGAATCAAATTAATCTGATTTTTTATGATAAATGTTTTTAACTGGTATCCCAGCCAGGGAGGTGCTGGCCTTTTTCTACTCTCCAATTAATTGTATTTAATTTTTGCCCTAAAATGTTTGCCTTCATTGCCTAATTTTTTAATTTCACATTTTGAAACTGCTTTTTAGAAGAAAAGTGTTTCTTCACGCTGTAATTTTTTTCTTTTATGTATGTGTGTAATTATTTCAATGTTCCTCATATAAATTCTTAATTTCCAATAACTTACTATAAATTATGTATCTTATTACTTATTTATGTTTCAATATTTGCTATGGTCAGCTTTGAATTATTATTAAATATTTTTTATGTCATTTGTAAGTATAGCATTCATGATAATTTAATATTATTTAGTTCGTATAAATACAAAATGAAGCTATTTTTCAGATTGTTTAATTTCAGTAAAAAATCCTTGTTTACATAGTGATATTTCCGAGAATAATTTTCAAAGACATTATTTTATTTGAATTTGGTAATTCAGAAAAGTATACAATACAATGAATGTGTAGTAAAACTGAAATACAAAATAATGTTTTAAAATTAATTTGAAATAATGTATTAATCCAACATAAGTTAACCCATTATTAGTCTGAACATGGATCTAAGTGAAACACAATTTATATACTTTCTATTGTCTTACAGAGCAGCATGAAAATCTAAACATAATATTAAATATACAATACAATTAACTCTAAAATACTAAAACTAAATTAGCCTTATTCTCTATTCCCCACCCCTAATAGCTTTATATTTAGCTATTTCATTGGGGAAGGTTTTTGACAGTTCTGACAGCAGATGACTCTTGAAGCGCTTGTATGAATCAATCTTGCCTTTGACTTCTTCATTTTTCGCCAGAGCTTTGTCTATGCAGTCTTTTGTGTACAGCTGTGGATTGCGACCTTGATCAATGTAACTGAAAATGAAATAAAAGGAAGAATAATAAATGAGCATTTTCTGAAAGGAAGAATGATGAATGATCATTTCTGAAAAAAAAATACTAGGCAGCGGCAGGCTGTATGCATAGTCTGCTGTTGCCACATGATTCCAAGATTTAAATAACAGCAAGAATTTCTTTGTGCTCAATGTAATCATTTATATTGTAGTAACAAAAGGAACCTGTGCTTGTAACAATTTTTTTTCTAAATGAATTATATTCTGAGCAATGCTTTACTTTGGTGGCATGAGTCAACTAGAGAAAATAAGAATGATTATTACATCATATTTTATTATTTTAATGAAATTCAGTGTGAGCTTGTAAAAACTCAATGGGCATGAATGTGTTATTTTTGAGCATGTGGTATTTTTTATGTTTTTATTATTGTTTGTTCTTACGGTACACCAATACGCCCAACGAAACCCATACCGATAGATACAATAAAGATAAATAAGATAATAATATTATAGTAAAGAAAATAAATATGTTCCATTCAAATACTTACTCAAACACTTCCGTGGGAACATGAATGTCGTGGACCTGAGACTTCAACTTGTCAACCTCCTGCAAACCAGTAACAAGAGATTGTCTGAAATATAAAGATGGTGTTAATTAACTTCTGTAAACGATTAAACGCAAAAAAGAAAGTACGAATGGAACTTACATCTTCTGGTTCAAAACACTTTGGCCTTGTGGCTGGAAATCACTTACGATGATACGAATTTGCCTCACATTTTCGATAAACATTTCAAGTTGAGTCTCCAAATTTTCCAAAGGCGACGACATTTCGGCTATTTTAACTAGTTTATAAATTAAAAATACACAAAATGGACAACAGCTCAAAACACTTTTTGTGTCAATTTGACGTTTTGCCTAAAGATAAGAAAAGTTACTGAGTTGCCATACAAGAAAACAAAGTTACGTTCATTTATTTGTTATATTGAGATTGAAACTTTTTGACTCAATGGTCTTGTCATTATATCATCATTTTAAGATTCTAAAATTCAGTTTAACTACAATAACTAATACCTTTTCAATAAATGTAATTAGGAAATGAGAATAAGCATATAAAAAAACGGATGTTTTTGAACGCAACAATATAAGTCATGATAATTGACATTTAGCTGTCATTACGGTGTTTGACATTGAGAGCTTTGGAGAGGTTATTGCACTAAATACAAACCGAGTTCGGTTAATTATAATATTATTTGTAATGGTTCATTCGGTGTCAATTGCTAACAATAAAACTACGATCTATGAATCTGCCGTCGCGGGTGGTATGGCGGGAGCCATTACAAGAGCTGTAGCACAACCCCTGGACGTTCTAAAAATACGATTTCAACTCCAACTTGAACCTATTCGAAATGGTTCTAAATACAGCTCTATGCTACAAGCAGTGTCTTCTATTGTGAAGGAAGAAGGTATATTGGCATTGTGGAGTGGTCACGTACCAGCACAATATCTATCAATAGCGTACGGAGTCTTGCAATTCTCCGTGTTTGAACAGCTTACGCAAGTATGCCAGAGCGCTGATCAACAGTTTTATTACACACACAGACACTGGATAAACTTTTCTAATGGCGGTGTGGCTGCAGCCGTCGGTACCGTTGCATCATTTCCATTCGATACAGTCAGAACCAGGTTAATTGCTGAACAGAAAACGAAAAAGGCATACAAAGGGTTCACTCACGCAATCACGTCTATGGTAAGAACTGAAGGAGTAGCTGCCTTGTACAAAGGCTTAATACCCACCCTGGGTCAATAGCACCGCATGCTGGCATACAGTTCGCAGTTTATAGATTTTTAACAGACACTGTATTTAATAAAATACCTCTTTTCAAAGACGAGCAACTATGCATTCTGTTATTGAATCCTCTTTAGTGGCAAACATCATAGCTGGTTGTATATCTGGTTTTGTGGCTAAAACTGCAATCTATCCATTTGATTTAATAAAAAAAAGATTGCAAATACAGGGTTTTCAGCAGTACAGGCAGTCTTTTGGCAAGCAGATGTACTGCAATGGTCTGTTAGATTGTTTGAAGTTAACCATCACAATGGAAGGGTTCCTAGCACTGTATAAAGGGTATGGTCCAAGTATGTTGAAGGCAGTTTTGGTTACTGCCATGCATTTTACTGTGTATGATGAAATCAAACACATGTTCTTGAAATTGAAGAGTTGATGAATGTAATTTTATGTAAATAGATCTAAATTCAAATTGATAGGTATGCATGGGCAAATCATTAAATTATTTCCTAGTAGATGTTATTTTTTAATTAGTTATATTGAAGGCTATCGAAGATTCTCATTGTACATGAATTTACATTGCATCATCCAATAGAGCATAAGCGATCACAATTAAAAAAAAAATTACATTGCATATACCTATCAAATGTTTGTATAAGAACAAAATATTAATTTTAAGATTTAATAACATGGGACTGATCACAGGAATATTCATCACTTAATTTAAGCTAGCCAAACCAAAACTGCCATCAAATGTAATTCCATTAGTCTGTTTTAAATTATTTAAAAAAAAATCTTTTATATCACCAGTATTGAGTGAAATAATTTATAATTTTTTATTTATTTTATAAAGATCAGAAAATTTTATTATTTATTTATTAGAATTTTTTATGTTTAATAAGTTGTTTTAAGTATAAAAATAATTTATTTATTAACCTACTGTGTTGATGTTGCTTTTTTATTTATTTATTGAATATAAATGATGTCATGCTTTTTTGTTATGTGTTTTTGTAAAATTAATAGCAAAATGTAATTAAGTGTCCATATGTTTGTTTATGTTACCCTTCAGCAGTGGTGTGTATAATGTGTTAATTATATTCTATTATGTATAATATTTCAGATACTTGATCAGAAAAAACTAATCACATCATACTTCCAAAGCATTTAAAATTATTCTATAATGTTCATGGATACTTTATTTTTTTTTTAATCTGTGGTTCAATATTTATCTGTAGCATTAGTGTTGTACACAAAGTAGATATGTATATTATATACCGAATACATTTCTGTGATACCTACATATTAGATAGATTTTAGACTGAATGTTTAGATTTGTTGGCTTATAAAAGTAAAAATAAAAAAGTTGTATAAACATTTTTTGTTTTTTTTTCTATTTTTTAATGTAGGTTATATATACTTTCCATATAAATAACATTTGAATACTATCTTTGTCACACTTAAAATAAAGTCTAAAATCGTAGCAAGACTTGCTAGTGCCAGTAGAGTTGTATGCACCTAGAACATATATACCACCCACAGAGATTTTTAAAGAAAAATAAAATGATCAAGTATAAAACTTTAATTACATAAATGACTATAAACAATAATACAAAACTAATCGTAAACATTTTAAAATGATGTGCCCTAATATTTTAATTCGATTCTTAAAATTTTCGTCACTTTTCCCAATAGGTACCCAGCTAAAGTATTTCTTATTTTAACAAGTAGGTTTAAGATTCTGTTCAGCCATACGATATCACGTAACCCATATTTCGCATCAAAGTGTCTTTGATAGCTGGCTGCAATTCTTTCTTCATATAAGTGGTCAAAAGAGTTCGTATACCTTTTGTAAATATGTCTTCCATTTCTCGAGAAATATCTTCTGCTTCGTCCAATTCGTCGTCGGGCCTAAACAGTTTACTTCGTTCGTAATTGACCCTACTTCGCGGTTCGTAAACAATGTCCCAGTTATTGTCAGCTGCCCTACTATCCACTCCCCCACTGTATAATGGTCGTGCATCAAAAGTAAACTCATCCGATCGCTTTCGTCGCTTCAAAGGCAAATTGTCCTTATTCCGAACTGAGTTTCTGTTGATGTACTTCTCGCAACCGTATGCGTATACGCTTATGAAGCCAGGTTCAACGAATTCTGAATCGGTTTTCACGTTGAATTTTCCTGGTTGTTGATTCAAAGGTCGAGTGTGGAAGCCAATTCCTGCCTTTCTTAGTCTTAGGATCATGTTACAGCCGTTACTGCCTCGACTTCTAGCGTAGTTGTCAAAAGGGCCGTCTATTGATCTGGATTCGGCGAAATGTCTTCTCAATCTTCGGCTGGGTGGAATACCTCTATCTAGGTCATTTGCATCGTATAGGTCCACATTGCCACTGATTGTTATGTCGTGGAATAGGCATGGTATCCAGTGAGACATTTCTTGGGTCGAAGTAGCATTTCTCCACTCTAACCCAGTTGCTATTTTGCGGCAGTCGTACCCTCATCCTTGTAACATACATGTCGACGGGAGCTGATCGCATTTGCTGGTACAAGCTGTAGCCATTGAGATCGATGCTTTGACTCTGTAACAAGAATATTAGTCACTAGCAAAGGTAGACAAGGTATTCGTATTTTTGTATGTAGGTAGGTACCTTTGGTTGAAAACTGCCTATCTGTGTTATCCTCATCATAGCAATAGTTTGTTTCTATGAAGATTGAATGAGGAAAGATATGTTTTAAGTCTGGGAGAGCCATGCTTCGGCACGAACGGGCCGGCTCGACCGGATTGATACCACGGCCTCACAGAAAACAGACGTGAAACAACTTTGCGTTGTGTTTCGTCGTGTGAGAGAGGTTATCTCTGAACCCCCTACAATCCTCAAACTCCTAATTCCCAAAAGGCCGGTAACGCACTTGTAACGCCTCTGGTGTTTCGGGTGTCCATGGGCGACGCCGATTGCTTACCATCAGGTGATCCGTCTGCCCGTTTACCGGCTTATCTCATATAAAAAGCACTCTTAACCATTGTGTAATATGACATTACACGTTTTATTTCCTTTTTATCCGACTTCAAAAAAGAACGAGTTGCTATTTTTGACCCAGGAATCCAAATCGAAACCCCTTGCTTGGCAGTCTCGCTAATAAATACTTGAGACGATTAGGTTCAAAATATTGTCATCCCGTTACTCACCAAAGGAGTGTCCAAATTTTTCGGCTGTGTCCTTTTTCGTCGCTTCATCTGGTCTAATGCGGACTCCAGGCGTGACGAGCAGCGCTCCCCAGCGATGGGCACTGTGGTCAACGGCGGTAGACCGCCAGGCCCAACTCCAAGTGGTCGGTTGTCATATCGCTTCACTTCGAACAGAGGAAGGAAACGTGACTCTGTAAAGCATAGTGTTAGTTTTAGGTAGATTATTATGCCTATATAGCCAGCACCGACTTTACCATAAGGGCACTCGGGACCCGTGCCCAGGGGGCCCTGAAGGACCGAACATTTCTACCATGGACACACACCCGTTTCGCGGCAACCGACTATCACGCAACGTGTGGCGGCTTCGATTCCCACAAGTCTTTGTAAATCTTTGTGTAATCCATAAATTGTTGTTTTGCCATGTGTATGTGAACTTGTATGTTTGTAAACGCACCCAAGATACCTACAGGAGAAAAGTCTAGTGCGAGGCAACCTTAAAAATATATTCCAAAAGGGCCTGAACTATTTTGTGCCCAAAGGCCCCAGCGTCGTCTAAGACGGCTGTATATAGCTCACTCTCACCTAGTTTCAATTTATTGTGTAGTATCTACCTACAAACAATTGTGGATTACTCGGACTTTAGTCCTATAGTTAGTTACATACTACGAAGCTCCTATAAAGTCAATGTTTTTACCGTTTACTTTCAATTTAAAAACACCATTAGGATCACATCTAGAGTACCACAATTCGTGGTTTTTGTGGGTAAGTACTTGTTCTGGAGGGCAACCGAACCCGCAATTCTTCACTGAGTTTCAGTACCTAGCGACATTTCCTAGGAGTAACTTTTTTTTATAGCATAAGCCGGTAAACGAGCATACGGATCACCTGATGGTAAGCAATCGGCGCCGCCCATGGACACTCAAAACACCAAGACGTTATAAGTGCGTTACCGGCCTTTTGGGAATTGGGATTTTGAGGATTGTGGAGCATTCGGGGATTCGGGTGACGGGTACTAGGGAGGGGGGTAATTGGGCGTCCGATAACCTCACTCACACGACTAAACACAACGCAAGCGTTGTTTCACGTCGGTTTTCTGTGATGCCGTGGTATCACTCCGGTCGAGCCGGCCCATTCGTGCCAAAGCATGGCTCTCCCACACCCAACTAAACTAAAGCATTACGTAAAATAGGTGGGTACCCAGATAAAAGCGTAATCACTAATGACTTATTGTTTTTGAAAATGACACCTCTCATTCCGGTATGGAACAATTATAAAAAGGAAAATTACAAGCAGGCAAACATAAAATTGAAAGTTAACGTGTAATAATATTCTATGTTGATGTTGATCCTACAGTTTTCTCTTCCATTGTTCTATGTTCAAAGGCGTAAAAATCGTGAACTATGTGATGACGTCAAAACTTTTGTAGGTACCTATTAATGAGATTTACGTTTTGGATGTGCTCCAAATTTTGTAGGTAGTAGATAAGTAGGTATACCCACTTTTTTAAGGGGGGAAAATCATGGAATTGCTTCTCCCGCCTGGGTGAGGCGGGGGGAGTGTCAGACTCTTACTGACTAAACACCACCCCGTTCCTACTCCTGCACGTCGAGCCGGAGCCCCGGTAACCCGTTAAGTTCTCCGCGACAGGTATACCCACTAGAGAGATTGAATCACCTGCCCTGTTTTTGGAATTACAAATCCATTTCGGTCTGGTAATTCAAATCTTTTGTTTCCTATTATCCTATCTGTTCTGGAATAATGTTACGCTGCAACGTAGAACAATAGAGCTATTTTAATTTAGCAGTTTAGCCACAGAATTATACCTGGGTAGGGGACTTT